AGGTAATCCGATACACGATATACAGGTATACTAGAGAAATTATTTTTTTTTACTCATTTCTACCATTTCGAAAACCGTGATAAGTAAAGAACCAAACAATGGAGATGAGGAATCAGAAAGTGAGAAATCAGGTAAAGAACTAGAAAGTGAAGAATCAGATAATGTAAACTTATCTAGAAGCTCAAATATTCAGCATACTCATAGCCACCCAAGGTTGAATGCTAGTAACACAAACAAACAAAGTGGGCAAAGTTCTCATGGTAGTGGTAGTATAAGTGACCATAGTCATGGTCATGCTTATAGTCATAGTCATGGTTATGGTCGTGGTCGTGAGCAGGTTTTTTCTAGTAGCAAGAGTTGTTATAGCTACTTTTGTCTTTATAGAATTCCAAAACCTTCTGAAACTCAGTTAACAAATATTCTGATAGAATTTTTGCCATCTCATACTACAGCCTATTTTCAACCAATAGATGCAGGCAAAATTAGTAGTTTTAAAGCAATATACAAAAGAAAATACATTTAACACATAATTAATCAATTTGAAAGAGAAGAGGATTTAAAAGCATAAGAAAATATTAATAAGCCTAGCATTACTAACTTAAAAAGTTTCTTTAAGAAATTTTGTTGTTGAAATAAGATCAAGCTTTGTTATTAGGTAAGCTAAAAGCTTTATTAATAACAAAGCTTGAAAAAAATTTTTTTGTTAGTGTGTAGAAGGTAAAATTTTGAGTTTGATGATTTTTTGGATTGTTTTGATTTTTGAGTTCTTTTGCGTTATATATGATCATGAAATTTGATTGGTCAGTGAAGTTTTCTAGATGGTAACACTAGATTTGTCCTCAATATTACTGTATAGCACTGTATATAATATCCCCAAAATAGTATTTACCAGTTTAATCACTAGATTAGTATGTAGGTACCCAGCCTATATGCAGTGCTAGACATTTAATCTTTATTTTTTTTATTGGTTTATTACCTTTTTTATATAAAATGATTTTAAAGAATTTTTTTAAATTTTTTTAAATCATGCAAAAAAAAATTAAACATTAGAGAAGCGATAACTTATATTTCAGAATCATAGGAAGAGGTAGAACAATCAACAATTGTAAATTGTTAGATAAAAACCAGAATCCTTCTATTGTTAGATAGTGACGAAGTTGAAGATACTACTCTTGCCTTGCAAGACTTGGAAGATATTGAGAAGAATAAAACTGATGAATTAATTATAGATCTAATAACAAGTTCTTTAGATCTGACAATTGAACGTAATATAAATGAATTCAATCATTTAAATAATTCTCAAATACTTACTAAGGATACTCTTGATGAAACACAAATTGTAAACATTGTATTAGAAGAACAACAGAAGTTTGAAGAAGGTGATGCAAGTGATACTGATGAAGAGCCGCCTGAAGTTCATATTGTAGAGAGATTAAATAGATTAAAAAAATTTATTAGCTTTTTTGAGCAGCAAAAAAGTGATGATTTCAATGTAGAGGATTTGAAGGTATTCAGAAAATACATGTCATTAATGAGAAGAAAACATATTGAATCAATGAAGCAAACATCAATTTCTGAGTTTTTTTTACCTGTTAATAATTAATAGCAGAGCATTTTTTTTTTACAAAAAATTGGATTTACTTTTTGTAAATTGTGAATCTTTTTTTTTTTTTTGAGTATGAATCATCTTTTTTTTTTCATCTAAATTTTTTTTTTTGTCCAATTTTTTTTTCTTGGTTCAAATTTTTATGAGAAATAAAATTTTTTGGTTTGGTTTTTAGCTTACAACCAATTTAATCCATTGATATTATTGCAATTCAGAATCAAATCATTCCTTATAACCAAGAGACTGGATAATTTGATCTTATAGTCAAGAACTATTTTCATAAAAGGTAGGTTATCGACTCTGGCTTTTACCTTTTAGCACTGCTCTATAGTACAAGGCCTCATAACTTTATTTTTTAAATTGGTTAGTACCCGGGCATATAGATGCGGTATTCCTGGATGTGAACTAATTTTACAAATTCGAATAGGCTATTCTACTATATAAAGTAACAAAGTAGCACATCCTAACGTTGTAATTCTAAAAACTGCATCATTGCGCATTACTAGGTTGTAAAATATTAATAGCGATAGCCCTTAATATCATATTTATTGCCAATGCAGAAAGATCTTCTGAGTCAATTGTTAAACCACATAACTAGTTACAAGGATAGTTATAGAACTCCCAATTGCAATATCATCTAAAACACATTCATGGTTAATGATTATATCCCGGGTATTATTCATGAATTAAGCTAATAGGTGTGGTGAATAATACCCGGATCTTCATTATTTCATGGTGCATTGCTAAATGTAAGTTTCTGCATTGATTAATAACTTTTGGGCTAATTATCAAAACTTATTTTGTATTTTTTTTTTTATTACGTAGCAGGGGATTATTATACCGATATTATAGAATTTTGAACTTTAATTCGTATAGTGCAATGTAATATAAGTATGGATGATATATGTATCGTGTAATACTGTATAACAAGCATAGATGATAAAATAAAAAGAAAGAGATTTATAATACAGTATAAATTTTATAACAATAGTGGCCATGCTATAAAGTAATATATATACTAATAAATTAATTACTTCTTTAAAATCACATTATATTTGGTTATTATATTTTGGGATTATATAGAGGTAATTCTATTTAATCACCCCTTTATATAATCACCAAAATGTGTTAGATAAACTGGGTGATTGTAGGGAGGGACGACTGTAATTAAAAATAAGCAATCCATCATATTTCTATACTTAAATTATTAACCTAATTAAAATAAGCTATTGAAGTCCATGAATATTTACTATTCGCAAAAACTTAGTAAAGAGAGTCTAGTTATTTATCGTTGTTTTCGAAATGGTCGGAAATAGTAATATTTATAAAAAAATTTTTTTTGCGAATACTCGAATACCATTATGTAGATTAGAATTCGATCTTCGATCAATGTTTTAAACTAATTGAAAAAATTTTTTTTTTTTTGTAACTATTTTCAACCATTTTGAAAACAGCGATAAAATAAAATGCTTAAATTCATAAATATATATTTACTTATTAGTTTTAAAATAAACAATTCATGCCTATAAAATATTAAGTTTATTAAATTCTGTATGCTGTATATATATTTAATTCGAATAAATTTTTGCATTTGCAAAATTTGCTAAAGAGGAAATTTGGTATACTGCCTAAAAATTTTTTTATTACAAAAATTTTTGCAGGTTCCGTGTTACTAATTTGTGATTAAAATTTTTTAAATAATTAACTTTTTTAATTTTTTTAAAAAAAAAACCCCGAGTTAGTGGGCAAAGTAGAAATTTGATGTTATGAGAACCAAAAAAAAAACCACTTTTATGAGATCTTATATATATTTTGAGCAGCTTTCTTTTTTTTAAATTTTACTTGCAAATTTAAATTCTTTACAAAATACTGCACATTATTTTGCATATTAATTTAAACGCTGATCCCAGGCGTAGTGTCTAAATAACTATATTCGTCTGCTTGTTCAGGATTATTAACCCGTTGCGATGTGGGGTTAACAATTGCTGAAAACCGATGTGATTTTTTATGATACTCTAAAAAAAAGGAGAGTAGTTAGAAATACAGTAACATTTTAAGTTTTGTGTTCAATAATAACAACCAAATTATACCATTCTCAAATTTTCCCTCGATCATACAGTCTTCACAAAGATCCACTTCTCGACTCTCATCACAATTCATACAAAGGAAGCGTGTACCAAGTATTGGATCCATACGACAACCATCACACTTAAGAAAAGAGTTGGCAGTTATTAATAACGTATATCAATAAATTCAATCACGTAATAAATACTTACACAGTATCCATTATGTATGGCTCCACCAGCGTAATTGTATGACTAAAATATATACAGTATATACACACATATATATAGTTATGAAATTCATAATACAGTATATCAACAAACGTAGATTATTTAATCTGACTAACCTTGGGTTCATTGCCTAATTTGTCCATTGACAGCATTACTTCCTTTATGATAGTCTCATCATCATCATCGGGCATATATAAAGTAGGTGGAGGTCGTGCTTCCATATATGCTATTCCGGATACACTGTGAATGCCCATAAATACAAAAAGTTAATAATAATAGTCGTTATCCTGCCATCCTACTCATGAGATGTCAAAAATTACCGTGGTCGTCGAGGTCGTTTTTCTGGAGGAAGCTTAGATGAATCTGACTTGGATATTCTACCCGATTTTTTATCCTTTGATAAAATATTTTTTGACGAAGATTTCGCAGACTGGGAATTTGTTTGTTTGTTTGTTTTTTTTTAGTAACTCATTTATATATCAGCTAACGAATAAGCTAATTTTCAATAAACTCTATTTATGTAATAATTACTGAAACACTAGGTATCCGTCCAGGAACAGGTATTCCATATTTTGCCAATTTTTTGCAAAATATTTTTGTACCCGGCTGGCTACCTGAATTTATGAATAAATTCAAATATGATTGATTTGCAATAAAATGCCGTTGACACTTATCGCACTCGTCATAGTTCCAAAGATATTTTTTACCTGCTTCGGAGTTCTAGTTTCAAGCAGTTTTGAATAAGTGTGACCGAACCCCTCTTCCGGACATTTAGCAAGCAAGCGTTCCAATTAACGCTTTTTGAATGTGCAAGATTTATTATGTAAACTGATAAATTTTGTACCAATCATGATTTATGAAACATGCCATTTGCGATAACGCATACCTGCTCCTCATTTGACTATAATGCATCGTAATTTACATGTTTCGATGAATCACTATTTTCACTTACTAAATTTCTTATATACATGCGCGTGCACTTACGGCAATATTTTATCACGTGAAAAGTAAAATTTATTATTTTTTAATAATTACCTTTTCTAAATTATTCTTCCGATTCGTATGTATGGAATTAATCTGATTACTTGAATAATTTGTGTTTTTGGTAATCGTAACTTGTCTATCAGTAAATTATTTGAACCAAACCATCTTAAACAAAAAGAATACATTACATATAGAGTTTACAAATAATGGTGAAACGAACCTTGTAGAACAATTAGAAATTAAACTCCGTGCTTTAGTCGGTGCGGTCCGAGTTGACATTTCTTTCTTTTTTGATTTCGACGGTGTTGACCTTTGCGCATTTATATACGTTCTCGACGGGATTGTGAATGTGCTTTCATCATCGCTATTTAGATTAATCCTTTTTTTCTTAGAACGCGTTGATTTTATTGCGTTTGAGGGGACTTTGAAACCAAGTTCTTGAGCTTTCTTGTGCACAAATTCAACAATATCTGGTGAGCCAGGTCGTGAATTATCACTTGAGGGTGGTGTGTTTACCCGATCCTTTGATCGCGTATTATAAAGATTTTGAATAAAGTTAACAAAGAACAATGATTGGTCATAAAATTTACCAAGAAAGAATTGGAGTTAACCTTGGAATTTTTCATTTTCTCTTGATCTAAAAAAAAAAAATTAAATCCTTTAAAATTTTATCAAAGCCAACAATATAACTCCAATTTTGATGGTTTACCTATACGTGCTTTATACTTTGAAGGAGTGGTATGATATTTGCTCCAATCAATTGTTGGCGCTCCAAATATAAATTGCCTCTTAGGAACCTTTTCGTTAGTCTGTGAAACAGGTATGAAAGGAATAAATTATCCGAGATTAATAAGGTAACAAACTTTATGCATCAGACAGACACCAGTCATTTAT